AGCAGAAGGAAAGAAAGATTAAAAAAAAAAAAGACAAAACCCAACAGTTATTACAGAGTTACTGTTGTGCTTTATCTTACAGAAGTGTGCGATGTCAGAGAATTGCAAACATCTTTAGCAGATCTTAGTTAAAAGAGCATAACACATCTTACACACAATATTCCTTCCTAGGGGAAATGGGGATGCTTCTCCCATGTCAGAAGGAGTTTGGAGGGGAAACTGCAGTGGAAAGCAGGGGAGACTGTGGCTCAAAAGATAGAAAGGGCAAGGACAGACAGTGATGGTAGCTGCCATCGTCAGCTCCAGCAACACCTGCAATGCCATGGGTTGTGTGCCTGCTTTTCCAGGGCCCCACTACCAGGATGGTAGAAAGCCTGGCTTGGGCCATTTCACCACACATGGTAGCTCATTGCTGTGAGGAATGGCTCAGTTTATCTGCACCCATAGCCAGCCCTGCATAGAGGGTATGATCTTGTTCAAATCAGGGACTGGAAAAGTCATGCAGGACTTGTCTCTGACAGCACTTGGATGCTTGATGTCTATAGGATTTAAACATATACTTGAGAGCTACTGTAAATAAATACAGCATTGAGTTCAATACACAGAGTCCTTCCTGAAGCTGCAACCTTTAGGCACTATTACAGAAGAATCAAATAGACTGGAAAAAGAACTTGAGGTCCAGATACATTTAAATCTCACTGACCTTGCACTAGATCTCACTGTGGTGAGCCATGACCTGGGTTTAATGATGAAACCCAACCTAACCCATGTCAAACCTGCTGTTTCTTAACTTACCAGGACAGGCATCCAACATTTAAAACAAGGAGGGAAACTATATTATTACTTATATATAATTTCAGTCTTAGCTTCTAAGGAGGAATTATGAGTTATCTTGACTGGTTTTTACTTTCTTGTTAAGATACACACAGTGGTCAGTGATGAGTATATACACAGCAATTAGTTCAATAGCTGCACACCTGTCTTTCCAGGTTGCTGCTCTAGACTGCAGAACAAAGGCCCATCTTTCTCTTGAAGCCAGTTGCCTTCAGTACCCAGTTAATATAGTTAATTAATATGTAACCATTTCCCATTCTTGCTGTATCAGTGTTATGAAACCCTAGAATTATTCTGGGTCACTCTGGTGCCAGCATTCATAAGACTAATAAACTGTCACATGTATCTCATTGCATTTAGTCATGTTTACAGGTGATTCTGTAAGCCTTCTTTAGAGAAGCAACAGAGGAAAATGGAAACACCCTGAATGCAAGGCATGTAATTTGAGAGTTGGGAATTAACTCACATCCACAGTGCTGGTGAATCCCTTCTGGGTTACTAGCTGGATTGTCTAACTCAAGAAATCTTCCTCTTAGGAGTTAATGCAATATTCCAGTTATGTCACATAACAGCTGTTGCTAATACAGAGGTTACATAAATGAAATGTTCAATTACTGTCATTACAAGATCCCTGGGTCCCAACCAGCACGACTGCTATTATTCATTCATAGCTAACTTTCCTGTAACAAATATGTGGAATGAGATATCTTTTGAGAAAATAAATCAGTAAGACTTTGGGCCATCTTTTAACAACATTTTAGGCATTCAAGATACAAAGGGATCCTCAGAAGCACTCTAACATCTCAAATTCCAGCTGATTTGGTGGGAACTAGGCACCTACACACTTTAAAAAATTCATCAGATGCCTGTTTGCCTGTGGGGCTTCACCCTCCTTTTATAGGCATGAGGTAATTCAAATATTACTGTTCTCAGTAGAAAACACAGGACTGTGGCCCTCATTGTAATGAAAGGAAGATCTCTGAGACTGCATAAAAATTTATATAAAACATAAAGAGGAAGTCTTTAATCCTAGGAAAAGTTATGTAACATGCTAATGTAAAAAAACATTAAATGTCAACAAATTCTGCCTATATGTGTCCAGAGAGTTTGCAGTAATTCTTACTATAAAAGCACGATACTAGAAGGGAAATTTCACAAATTAATCAGTTTAAATATTTTATATCCATTTTTTTGGTTTGTTTTAATTTTTAATATAGCAGCATTTCTTAAGTCACAAGCTACTGAGATCATAAATGAAAGAGAAAATTAATTACTCACTTATAATTATAATGAGAATGACTGCGCATACTACACCAAGGATGATCATCATCTAGAAAAAGAAAGTTATAGAAAAGAAAAAGTCAGGTTTTCACATGAAAGACATTAATCCCTCAATTTTTTTGCTTTTACTTAGTGATTCATTCCTCATACTTTTAATTCTTGAAAAGACTCACTGTAACAGACTGTTAAGGCCCCAAAGTTAGTGTCAGTTTGAAGAACAGCTGACCACCAGCAATGGTCATAAACCTCTTTTCAAAGCTAGTCAGTTCTTGCCTGTCAGCTAAAGATGCAGTGACCAACCTCATCCATTTCCAGCAGTAAAGAAAAAGTACGTTTCCAAAGTAAAACAACTCCAAAGGTGATTTAAGTGACTGGATTCACACATGGCATGTACCACTTTATACCAGAGTAACTGGATCACTCTTTCCCAGGTTCCCCGTGGCAGTGCAGAGGCAGCTGGAGATGTCTAATGCCTCCCAGCTATTGGTGCTGCTCTGTGTACCTGTGCTGTTGGGAGAGGAAGCCCACGCTAACCAGCATGGTTTCCAGCATGTTCTCCTGGAAATCACTCATGGCAAAGCAGAAGTCTGCTCCCACAGGAATAGGTACATCAGAGGCAGCTGTGCACAGACCACACCAGCACTGAGCTGTGTGGGGTAGAGGCCCCCACAGAGACTTGCTGAATGCTAACGAGGCCACCAGGGATGCTGCAGTCCAGGTGCCATTATTACCCCAGTGAGAATGGAAAGACTGAAACCCAACAAACCTAAGCGTGGCAAATCAAGGCCTCCATTCCTCCTAATATGTGTCTAAAGGACAGAGCCAGCCGTTGGCTTGCAGGAGATTTTTTTTATTACTTCCCTCTCCTTCCAGAGTTTGTGAGCCAGAGGAAGGACAGGGGGATTCTGTTTGTCAGGGTAAAGCAGGAAGGGATAATGAGGAAAGGAGAATGAGAGTAGGTTTGAAAGTCTAGTCTAGTGTAGGTCATTGTGGGCACTGGAGCCACATGGGTGAACCTCACTCAAAATCTGTGCCTGTAGCTCCCAGAAGCCCTGCTTCCTGCACTGGGCAGCAGGTAGAAGAGGCCCAGAGGAACTGCTCACATGAATTTCTAATCTAGGTCCTCTTATTCCTGGAGTGTTTGTGCATGTAGTTTACCCAGAATATTTTGCCTTGTTTTACACTTTATAGTGCTGTGGATTGAAGAGACAGAGCAGACAACAGACTGGCAAGGGATACACGTGGGATTCTCCCCTGGGAAAAGGTGGGTTTATGTGGGTGGACACGAGTAGTCAGCAGCAAAGATTGAAGAGAAATGGAAATGGAGCTGAAATTTTGTCACAGTGTTAATGTTGGTGGTGCATAAGTAGAAAGAAGCAAGGGTATGGGATCTTGGATGAGTAAGAGGAGCTGAACTTTGTGGGTCCAGAAAACACAAATACTGGGGGAGATCTGAAAAAGCAAGGGAGAGTGAGATTCCCTCTGCTCTTGGGAAAGGCTAAGACTTTGAAGACAGCAGAGAAGGTTGATAAAAGTCCTGCTCTATCCTAATTGGCCCTTCTTTATAAAATACTGTAATTTCCTTACTTCTCACAGCAGTTTGTGAAACCAAGTTGGTTTTTTTTTTTAGTTTGGTTTACCATCCTAATGGAAGATCCAGAGGTTGATGATCTCCCACAAGGACAAAGCTTCTTTTCTTCCAGTACTAGAATTCACTGTACCTGCTCAGGTTTTATCATTCACACGGGGAACATGAACTGACACGGAATACTTTCCCATCCCTATCTGCAGGCACTGACTGAAGCATCGAAATTTGTATCTACATTTTATATACTGCAGAATTTTTAGGGTCCAGTAAAGATCAAAGTTGCTTGACTTATGGAGCCCAGAGGGCAAGGCATGTCTTTCTCCCTTTGACAAAAAGAGATGACTCAGAGATGCCATCCTGCAGGCAAATGAATTAAATGCAAGTGAAAGTATTCCTGCCATGAAGTGATTCTCAACAAGAATTTATATTCTTTACCTTGCAATTTTTCCACCAGTATTTTCTCTTCAGTTTGGCTGCACTGGTTTCAAACTGTGAAGCACCTGCTTGCAAGGCATCTGCCCGGTTGTCAAGCTCTGAAAGCTTCTGGTCTCTCTCTAGCACCTTGTCCACGTTCATCCTCATGATGTCGACCACCTGCAAGGGCACAGCCTCACATGAGATCCCACACAGAGGAAAGCTGAAGGTCACTTGAATGTTCACACCCTGGAATATGACATATCATACCAAAAACAGCCATTTGCCTTTATGATACGTGGTGGCAATTACCTGGGCAGTGCCCCAAACCTCTGCCTATGGAAACAACAGTGAGCACAAGATGAGCACAGCTACACTGCTCAGGTGTGATATAAAGAGACATCATGAAATACCGGAGTCAGATCCTTTAAAGTTTTTGATTTCTTTTGGCCAACAAATATAGATACAAAAACCTGACAGAGACCAGTACCTCTATACTACAATTTGGTTGACTTCACTAAGAACAAACCATTATTTTCCTTATATATTTAATATCTTCCTTACCTGAACTAGTGAAATTGGCTATATAAAGGCCACTCTAAAGGGAACTGTATGCATTTCTTCACCAAGGAATTTACTCATTCTGCAGATCTTTCAGGCAAGATGATTTCCCAGCCATAATTTGAAGTCCTGCTTGAAAGCGGAGGAGGAGAATATTTTACCTGAGACAATTCAGCCTGAAGTTTTAGACAGTGAGCTGGTCCGTGTGTTCGGGATCCCGGGGTTTTGGGGTTTTTGGGGTCTCTCAGGTTATTTTTGGCCCCCAGGAGCGGGAGCTGGTCCGGGTGTTCGGGATCCCGAGTTTTTGGGGTTTTTGGGGTGTTCCCATGGATATTTTGGCCCCCAGGAGCGGGAGCTGGTCCGTGTGTTCGGGACCCCGGAGTTTTGGGTTCCCCGTGGATATTTCTGGTTTCCTGGTGTATTTTTGGGTTCCCCGGGGATATTTTGGGGTCTCTCAGGAACGTGAGCTGGTTCGGGTGTTCAGGATCCCAGGTTTTTGGGGTTTTTGGGGGTGTTCCCATGGATATTTTGGGGTTCCAGGAGCGGGAGCTGGTCCGTGTGTTCGGGATCCCGGGGTTTTGGGGTTTTTGGGGTGTTCCCATGGATATTTGGGGTTCCAGGAGCGGGAGCTGGTCCGTGTGTTCGGGATCCCGATGTTTTGGGGTTTTTGGGGTCTCCCAGGTTATTTTTTGGGGTTCCAGGAGCGGGAGCTGGTCCGTGTGTTCGGGATCCCAGAGTTTTGGGTTCCCCGTGGTTATTTTGGGTTCCCCATGGATATTTGGGGTTCCAGGAGCGGGAGCTGGTCCGTGTGTTCGGGATCCCGGGGTTTTGGGGTTTTTGGGGTGTTCCCATGGATATTTGGGGTTCCAGGAGCGGGAGCTGGTCCGTGTGTTCGGGATCCCGGAGCGGGCCCTGCTGGGCTACGCGCGGGCCCTGGAGCAGCACTACCACCCCGACGTGTCCTACCACAACAGCCTCCACGCCGCCGACGTCCTGCAGTCCACCCACGTCCTGCTGGCCACGCCCGCCCTCGACGTGAGACCCCCACACCCCACACACCCCCCCACGGCGGGGGGGGGCACCCTCGGGGGGCGGGGGGGCCGGTTGTGGGGTGGGGGGACATGTTTTGGGGTGGTGGGATCCGTTTTGGGCTTCTGGGACCCATTTTGGGGTAGTGAGCCCTGTTTTGGGGTGGTGGGACCTGTTTTGGGGTGGTGGGACCTGTTTTGGGGTGGTAGGGCCTGTTTTGGGGTTCTGGGCCCCATTTTGGGGTGGTGGGACCTATTTCAGGGTTCTAGGCCCCTCTTCAGGGTTCTGGGCCCCGTTTTGGGGTGTCGGGCCCCATTTTGGGGTTCTGGGCCCCATTTTGGGGTGTTGGGCCCCGTTTTGGGGTTCTAGGCCCCATTTTGGGGTGGTGGGACCCATTTTGGGGTTCTGGGCCCCATTTTGGGGTGGTGGGCCCTGTTTTGGGGTGTCGGGCCCCGCTCTGGGGGGCTCTGAGGGCCGGGGGTCCCTGACTTGGTGCCCCCAGGCCGTGTTCACGGACCTGGAGGTCCTGGCCGCCCTCTTCGCCGCCGCCATCCACGACGTCGACCACCCCGGGGTGTCCAACCAGTTCCTCATCAACACCAGTGAGCGGGGGGGGCTCAGGCTGGGCAGGGGGGGTCACATGGGGGGCCCTCCCCCCGTCCCTCCCCCCGTGTCCCAGCCTGGGGGTCCCTCCCTCTGTCCTGAGGGTCCCTCCCCATGTCCTGGGGGTCCCTCCCTCTGTCCTGGGGGTCCCTCCCTGTGTCCTGGGGGTCCCTCCCTCTGTCCTGGGGGTCCGTCCCCGTGTCCTGGGGGTCCCTCCCTGTGTCCTGGGGGTCCGTCCCCATGTCCTGGGGATCCCTCCCTGTGTCCTGGGGGTCCCTCCCCATGTCCTGGGGGTCCCTTCCCCCTGTCCCTCCCCCCATGTCCCAATTCAGGGGGTCCCTCCCCGGGTTCTGGGGGTCCCTCAACATGTCCTGGGGGGTCCCTCCCCCTGTCCTGGGGATCCCTCCCTGTGTCCTGGGGGTCCCTCCCCATGTCCTGAGGGTCCCTCCCTGTGTCCTGGGGGTCCCTCCCCGTGTCCCAGGGGTCCCTCCCCCTGTCCTGGGGGTCCCTCTCTCTGTCTCAGGGGTCCTTCCCCCTGTCCCTCCCCACATGTCCCAGTCTGAGGGTCCCTCCCTGTGTCCTGGGGGTCCCTCCCCCTGTCCTGGGGGTCCCTCCCCCTGTCCTGGGGGTCTCTCACCGTGTCCTGGGGGTCCCTCCCCATGTCCTGGGGGTCCCTCCCTGTGTC